GGTTGGCGGGCGAAGAAGCGGGTTCTGGGAGCTCAGGTCTTCCCACTTTCAGAAACAGTGTTTGGTTCTAACAGGCTCGGATCCTTTCTTCTCGGCTCCCGCTTCTCTTCCTCCAACCCCATCCTGCCTTTGCGGGATCGCAGGGCTGCAGTCACTGCCTGGCCTTCTGTCCATTGGGAATGCTTACCGTTTGTGGAAGCTACTGATTCTAGACGTGTTCCCCCAACGTGTTTATCAGTTCTTCTTCCATCTTCAAACAGGCAAGAAAACGTGGCAAGGTTTCTACGCGGATGAGAAGGGAGAGCATGGACATATTTATTCAACATATTTATTCACTTGGCAAGTGGTCAGGTTCTCTCGCTTGAGTTTCTGAGCTATCTTCCTAAACAGGAGGTTGGTGAGAGAGGTGAAAGAGATGGTGAAAGAACCAGTGACAGGCAGGACCTCATCAGGAGTGAAGAGCCAGCAAGAAAGCCTAGCAGACTGCGGACTCAGTGATCGAGGGGGAGAGGATGATATTGGAGGTTGAGGGACACGCCTGGAGGGGGGTGACAAGGAGCCAGATGGGCTGCGCAGCCTTAGCTGCCCATCTGAGCTGCCGAAAAAGGCGAACTAGCCATATGGCCGGAGGTTAAACTTGTCTGGGAAACTTCTGACTGTCTGGAGGCCCGCTTTCCCCTCCCCCAACACCCCCACCCCACTCCATTTGACGTCGGATTGTATTGTGTTCTAATGCTCTATGTGGGTTTGTGCAATTTTCTGGGGAAACGGTTCATAGACACTACATATTCAAAAGGGTCCCGTAAACAAACAAACAAAAAAGCTAAAACGCAAGTCTCCTGCTTTCCTTCATACTGAAAGCAAGGGGGGGAAATGTTCTCTAGTCTAAGACCCAATCTTAGGCCAGTTTTCCATGTACAATAGTAAAGGTTAGGGAAAATACTGCACGGGGTGACTTCATCTTCAAATAAGATTTGTCAAAATGCCTGACAGTCAAAAAACGCTCGGATTAAAAGATCTCTAAGTTTCACCCACAAGAATTCTACTTACTTGCAGTGCATTCAAAGGGAGTACTGATTCCAACTTCCAGTAAATCCTTTCAGCAAACATTGAGGCTAAATAAAGTGAACTATCACTGAATGAGAGAAAGATCCATTGTTAAACGATTAGTTTTGCAAATGCCAACTAAAATTGGCAATGCATAGGAAATAATATGAAAGACTTTTTAATCTTTGTTCTATTTTTAAATATATTTTGCATTTACCCATTTTGTATAAACAACGGAATAAAAATAATTAACGAGCTCATAAATCCATATAAGTAGGAATTTTTAGAATACAAGTTCATAAAAGTGTGAAGAACAGTGAAGTATTTAGAATGCAGTTATCTGTAAGAAATAACTTGTAAATTCCGTTTTAGCCACTAATTCCACAGCATATCTATACACAGCCTTTTTCTTTCCAAAGTAGAAAAGTATTAGACAAATATCTTCCTATAAAAAGTTATTGTGCATTTAAGTATTCAGATTAAAATTTAACATCAGAGTGATGAATATAGAAAAATCACCATTTGGCAAATAGCACAATAATTACTGTTACAGTCAAGAACCATGAATGCTAAAATTATTGTGCATATGATGAGGATATTTGCCGTCTGTAATTAAATACAAAAAGAAAAATCACAACCTGGTAGGCACCACCTTAAACAAGTGCTGAAAGTTAACATCACCATTAATAATACACATCAACATCATGTGCCTCCTGCTGTGATGCAGTGAGAAGAGCATAGCCTCGCTTCCACGGCATTCTTGCCAAAAATGCATAACTCGAATTTAATCATGAGGAAATACCAGGCAAACCCAAACTGAAGGACATTCCACAAAATAACTGGCCAGTACTCTTCAAAAGTTCAGTCATGAAAAAAAATAGACTAAGAAACTGTCACAGATTAAAAGAAACTAAGTAGACTTGCTAACTTAATGCACTGTGAAGTTCTGAATTGAATCCTGGACCAGAAGAAAGAAAGGACATTGGTTGGATAATTGTAGAAATTTGAATAATATTTATAGATTAGTTACTAGAGTAGAAGTAATGATAATTTCCTAGTTATGCTCATTGTACTATGGTTATGCGAAATGTTAACATTTCAGGAAGCTGGGTTATGGATATAATGGAATTCTTTGTGCTGTTTTTGTAAATTTTTTTCTGAAATTTCTTCAAAATAAAAATTTGTTAATTTAACTTCATGAGGTCATCCTAATAAAAATACTAATGTACAATTATTTAGAGGGAAATAAATTTTTATCAAGTCTGGTTTAGGAACAATGCCTAATTCAAATATTCGTGTGCCTGTGAGTCATTTTCTGTCTTCAAAATGTTCCCTCTCTGAGAGCGGGCTTCGCAGGGAGGCCGTGTGATCATGACCAAGGCTCTGAGTGAAGACTCCTCAGCAAAGGCCAATTCGAAGGATTTTGAAACAAGATAGAGCAGTGAGGAGGGGAGAAAAGTGCGCGGAAAAGCTCTTCCAGACTATCAAATTTGCCGATGCTCTGGAGTCTCAGCAGGTCCCTACCAGTGGGAAGCAAGAGGACGTCCAAGATTCCCTAAGGCAGATTTTCTCCAATCACAGAATTACACTTTTGTTCTAAATAGTAATAATGCTAACCATCTCAGAAATCTGTAAAGTACAAAGTAAATTCCCTTCGTCCGCTTTCCCAACCCGGTCCTTGCCCCCGAGCTTCGTCAGACCTTTTCAGTGCATTCACGCACATACATGTGCGCACGCAGGAGTCTGGCCCCGTGGGTCTCCCCACGTAAAAGGGATCTCATTACACTCATCGTTCAGCAGCTTGCTTTCCTCTACCGCACTGTACTCAATTGCTTTTCCAGAAATGCAATCCGGGGAGCTCCCGAACCCCGGCTCCAACGGCCGGTTCGCTCGCCCCTCCGGCCGGCGGCTCTTCCCGCCCCGGCTCGCGCCCCAGCTCCTGCGCGCCCGCCCGCCCCGGCTCGCGCGCCAGCCCGCCCCGCCCGGGCGCGCACGCTTGCTGGACAAAAGCGACGGTTGGTGTTCGCTCCAACGGTCCCTGGGGCACGTGCCCCGCCCCCCCCCCGGTGGGGGTCGGGGGAGCGCGAGATGGGAGTATCCGAGGGAAGGCGCCACGCCGCCTGTGTAGGGTAGGGGAAGATCGGATGAAGGGGACAGCTTAGGACAGCTCCACTCAGGTGGAGAGAGGAAAAGAAGGGCAGAAACCATCGTGTCCCGAACCAGTAAACACTCTGAGCCCGTCTGCTACCCAAAGTAACGCAGCTCAGAATAGCGCGTGAGAATGAATGAATGAATCCCATATAAGCCAGACTATCAGCAGAGTTCCGAAAACTTCACTTGCAAAGGTCCTAGCAACATAAAAGCCTCAATCAGGAGAGTTATCAATAAAGGAGCCCATCACTTCTGGTTACATGGCTTATATTCTTTCAATTATAAGTAGTTTATGTTTGCATATTTTTCCATTACTTTCTAATTTCTCAGTGCAGGGCCTATCCTTTAAGTTTTATTTCTCCATCCATACCCCAGTGAATGCCGATGGAGGGTAAAGTTTACCCAGCTTTAAGGCATAAGAATCATAAGATCACTTAACCTCCAACCACTTATTTCCTTTAATGCATTTTTTTTTTTCTTTCTCTTCCTCCTAAGGGTAGTTCTTGCATAGGGTACTACCCAAATAAGGCATTTCCCCACAAGTTTAAGGCCATGTAAGTTGTACAAATATGTATAAAACAATGGACAAAATCAGGTATATGAAGATGATACCCCCCTCAAGTTT